TCTTTTCGGCATAAGATTTCAGCCTGAGCCAGTTTTAATATTTTTCACCTGACATCGTGACATTTTGTGACAAAAATTCATCGCAGATGATGTAATAGTTTTCTTTCTTAGAAACGACGGATAATGTCTGTAATGCTAGACAGTTGCCATGACCCCTACTTCTATATCGGCAATTGACTTGATATTCAATAGTATAGTGAATCGAGAACATAAAGTTGAGAAAGGAAAGTAACTATTTAATCAAGCTTGAGAGGAGAATACTAACCGGATTGGTTTTAAAAAACCCTAGTCAATTTACTACAATGCACTGAGCCCCCCTATATTTTTGTTTATATCTTTGGCCTACATCATTCTAGAAGCTCTTCCATACTCTGATGGAGCAAAATTTCTGCAAATTCGCTATGCAAAAGTCCTCAAATTCCCAAAGTTTGCTTCCTTCCATTCCACACCAAGTAGGTTGGATTTTTCACAAAGATTCTCTTTTTTGACATTATAATGACTTTTCGTTTTTTCAGGGGGTAGCTATCGCTACTTTCAAACTATCTACCTCAGATTCGTTGCCAAAATCTATAAAATATCCCGGAAAGCTTTAGTGACTATGAATCATTATATGGAGTGCTATTTTTGAAACGTCTAGCAGGAACAACAAGACCCATAGAACTGGATTTTCAAACTTCACCTTCAAAACCGCCATTTTGCCTACAGAGAAAATGGGTCTTTGGCATAGCATTTGATACCCTGGTCCCAGAGGGACGACAATTTTTCTCCACGTACATTTTGAGCGGGAGAAAAATCGTCGAGCCTATGGGACTAGGGTAAGCATTTCATTGTCTTCGGCGCGCAGTGCATTTTAGTTGACTAGGATTTTAAAAATTCTGATTAGAATTTACTTTCCGCGGTCTATAATACTAGCTTAGAATATTAATGACAAGGAATGAAGCTATCAGAATTTCTGTAATATCAGTGCCTCGGGTAAGGGGGGACGGAAGCGGAAATGACCAGTGCCGGAACTAAGAATAAACTTTTATTGAGCATTTTACTTTTCGTTCGCTACTCCGATGCTTAGTCATTTACTTCTGTGTGCGATAACACAAAAACAAGGTCGTTATTAAAATGCTTTATTTTCCAGTTTGATAAGTGAGCATGTGAGCATATGCATATACAATATGCGCGTTATAAATATCAAAATTATTATCATAAGCCATTAATTAGAAAACCTTCCTAATCAACTCGCAAAGATACACCGAAGTCACAAATTGAAATGGGGCCGCTGAGTTCGTTGCTTGTATTAGTTTATTATTTTGATACTCTCATTTAAGTATGAACAAGATGAAGAATAACGACATCAAGCCTTTTTATAATTGACTTTATGTAAATCGTAATTTTGAGGCCGCATCGCACGTGGTACTTGGCTTGTCTTTTCCTGCCGATCTTTTCTTTTATTGATGTTTTCCCCTTTGATTTCCCGCTTAGGGATGGACAATTATATAATAAAGGGGGAGCGTTGCCAAAATTAATGTAACATGATATCTATCTATACAGTAATAACAGCGGCCTGCGCGCATTTTTTGTGTGTGTCTGCTCGATATTTCCGCTTTTCCGCTGAAAGCAGAGGATACGCAATTTTTTTTTGGGAAAACAAAGCATCATTTATTTATTTATTTATTTAATAACTTTCACCATTGTTATAGCTTATGCATGATAGAAGCGGGTTCCCTGTGGAAGAGAGAGAGAGAGAGAGAGAGAGAAGGAATGGGACAGAGTTGTTATAGGGAAGAGTAGACAAGTTGTTGTGGTTCTTAAAAAAATGAATCCGGAATTCGAATGATTTTATCTTCAGGACAACACATATGTGTAAGTATATTGATTCCGTTTTTCTTGGACAGAATATATTCTCATATAAGGTTTTGCAAT